CTTGTTGTGACTATTATAGAATCTTAATTATTTGCAGATACGCTGCTTGTTCGCAGTCTGCCTGATGCTTGCTTATTGGAATTTAGCTTGCTTACACGTGAAAGTTATGCTTCTTGTTTTCTATAGATTGTGGTAAGATCCAGATAGTACACTGGCTAACTTTCGCACTAGAGCGATATTTGTTTGGTGCACTTTAATTTTAGAAAACTTTCCACTGGCGTCTCGCATGGGTTATGTATATATTACAGGAAACTGATTTTTCAGTTGCGTCACATGTTGAGTTTATATATTAACGTACGGGTTGACCGACACTCGTATCATAATCACTTGGCTACATCATGTGACGCATTGACAGTTTGGGCTGTAAGAATTATTGAAGGTTATATAATCTGTCGAAGTAATTTAGGTTGTGAAAGGTATCGAGCAATGCACTTACATATGCCATGCGCATTATAAGATCTTGAAACAGGTAGAGGCCAGTTAGATTATTAGTTATAGGGTAGCTATTATACATTGGAGCATGCGCATTTGCACAAGGTGACTTCCAGCTATTAAGATAGTCACATTATAGCTATTTTATTTAAGATTTATAGATTCTGGTATAATTCTTATGCAATCCTGACCTTGTTGTGACTGTTGTAGCAACTTGATTTTTCTCAGGTGCACCAATTTTACGATATGCCTGGTACTTGCTTTTAGGTTCAGCTTAGTTATGCGCATTAGTTGCATCTCGTGTTTTTATAAATTGCGATGATATCCATGTGATATACTGTCTATCTTTTCATTAGAGCAATTTTTATTCATCTCCTAGATTTTGAGACCCATCGTTGGTGTCTTGCATGATTAGTTACCTGTTTTAGGAGTCCGAATTTTTATTGCGTCACATGTTAAGTTTGTAGGTTAACGTACGGGTTGCCGGTACTACGCACTCTGCATCAATAGCAGGGGAGGACTGAGAAAGCAGACCCTTTCTGAGAAGAGTATTGTATATGACCAAGACATTTAGAATTGCCTTGTGAAAGACATTCGACAGAGTACTAAGAGAGACTACATCTTCTTATAAATATCGATTCATTTTTGTTATTTAAGTTGTGTAAATAATTCAACACGCCCCCTCAAAAATGAATCGATTAAAATTAA